TTCCTAATGCACTGAGGTGAGCTGCGAAAAATTGACGACCGTTCATTTCTGTACCCATTCGCTGAGGATTCGACTTGCTGCTCAGACCACAACCTTTGTTGGGTGAAGTATAAGGAAATCATACCGGACTGCATGGGATCTAGACCAGATCATGTAGAAGGTGCCGTTAAGGCAAAGCGATCGGACAAACGAAAGGTGGGCGAGGAATTTGGCAAACCGCTGTTACCTGAGTGTTAGTCACGCAGGGCAACAGTTGCGCGCAACCACATGAAACAGGACCGGTAGTAAACCAACGACCCAAGCAGAAATCATCGGTGCAGAACCACTTCTGACGCATGCAGAAATAGGAATGTCCCATAGCATCTGGTCCATGGAGCTTATCTTTCGTATGTTCTTCGGAGATGTTAAACACAAGCCAGCACACAGCGAACAACCCCCACTCGATGTGGCTAACGCATTCCAATATATGGGTGGTTGCATCACCATTTGTGTTAACATCAAAAAAGCGGTAATCGCACACATTAGCTTTCCAAAGAGTGAAACACGCCGGGACCTAAGTGTGCTAACGCAGAGGAAACATATAGCGCTGCGATGTGATCAGGTTCCACATACCGATCAGAGGTACGGTCTCTGTGTCTGTGAAGCGTTGCTGAGTCTTAGAGACAGCATCGAATAAGTAATACTGCGGTCGGCCATTTGGTGTTTCTTCACAGACATCGGATGACGAACTGGAGTGTCAGCTGAACAGGAATCTTCTATGCTGTCTAAATCAAATTGTTCATAGGCTTGATAAACAGCTCATTTTGCATACAGTGTTTGCCGATGCTCCACCTGATGGTCAATCAGCGCCGCCTCCAAGTCAGATGTTCCACGTACATCAGGATACTGCTCATTTGTGTGCACTAACGTGCGATAGTGTGATGCAACAGCTCTTGAAAGGGTGCAGAGGTGCTCCACGAAGCACGTAATGGGGGACACAACAATTTTGACTTTTTATGGACAATGCCAATGACTTGATCCTGATACTACAGAGTTGCTATCTAGATCAAGTCATTGACCATTCTAAGCATGTTGACGTTAGTATCGTGCACAGAGCTGGTAGTGAAAGAACGATTTCAAAAACAGTGCAATACAGCTGTGTGCCGAGGTGCCACACAAAGAAGAGGAAGAATTTCGTCCTGATGGCGTATTCCGAAATATTGAACAAACTGCCATAAAACATTAGGCAGACTAAATCGCTTAATACCTTTGTAAAATTTAGAGGTACCTAACAGTGAATAAGATAGCAAACATGATGAACGCAACGCAAAAGCTTTGCACAGCTCAAATATTAAAGAACCGAAGCGGCAAGCATACCGACGAATGTACAGAAGCGTAACTTAACTGCTGCTTTATTTAACTCTGACATAGGTCTAAACGAAGGTTGGGACGCACCTTGGCCGAATCAAACTGCAAACGAGGAATCATTATCACATCAAGAAAAAACCAGTAACTGCCGACATCCCATCCGTCGGCATACTCCCACACGTGACCGCTCCACCCCTCTGTGGGATCCTAGAAACCGAGAAACTGGCCGAAGTGAAAGATTAATGTTGGATGTTTGTGAGTAGTGTGAAGTTCGAAGAAAGTAGAAGCCACGATTAAAATTCACGCACAATAATATGCCTCGACGGGGAGTCGAACCCCGGTCCACGAATTTCCGGTCCGTTGCTCTACCACCTGAGCTACCGAGGGCTGACGATTAGGTGCGCAAATTTTAACACATGTCTTCTGCTTGGTGCGCGACGTGTTGCCAATAAGCTCACAGTACCTGTCCTGATGTTGCAGATTGGCTCACAAACATCCAACATTAATCTACTATCGCCCATTGGACGTCTGAAGGACAGGAACTTCGGTCTATTGGGAAGTGACGGGTGAGTGAGCCAATCTGCAACATCAGGACAGGTACTGTGAGCTTATTGGCAACACGTCGCGCACCAAGCAGAGGAAGTGAAAGATTGCCAAGCTTCCGGGTCATATGATGTCATTGGTATTTCCAAGACGTTGCACACGGGAATGACGGACACTGAAGCTTCGCGACTGGGCATGTCACTGCTCCGGAACGAGAGGCGCACAAAAGGAGGGGTAATCTTGTATTATCGAAACGACTTACAGTGCGAAGCCGTGGAGAATTCAGGCTCCCAGTTCTCCGATTCTCTTTGGTGTCGGTGGCAGTTAAAAGGCAGGGACACTTGTCTTATTGTCTTAGTGTACCGCGCCCCTAACTCTACACCCAAAAACGACTGCCACCTAGCAGCTGCTGTAAGGTGCAGTTTACAACAAAAGTACACTCACATTCTTATCATGGGTGATTTCAACGTAAATTGTTTAGACACTCCCGCCACGATCGGAGAACAATTCAAAGCCGATCTACAAGATCTGGTAACTACTGTTCTTCTTTACAATCACATCACTGTACACTCGGTTCAGGACAGGTAACAGGCCATCTGTGCTGGATCTTGTGCTTACCAACGAGGAGCATATGATTGATGCGTTGGTTTTAGACTGACCGTTGGGTCGCAGTGATCACGCCCTGATCAGTTACAATTTCGTCTGCTGTGCAGAATATCTAAAAGAGAACGATGAGACTGTGCGAACCATCATAAGCTACGATCAATAAGCCCAGCTCGTCAGCGCCACAACTTGGTCGTTCTTCGAAGAAAAACCCCCGGAAGTCGCCTGGCTTCAGAGATAAAAGTTTGCAATAAGTGTAAGTCAGTTACTTTCGTTAGGAGCAGGACTCGAAAATGGATGGCAGTACGCAACGCAGCATGGCCAGTGTACAGAGAAGCTCCAGCACAAGAAACTTGAGACAACTACATAGCCCAACCAAACCACTGCACACATCCGTTGAGAGAAGACAAGACCGCCTATAAGCAGAACAGCGCAAAAACGTTCAGTGCTAACCACAAACTGCTGTACAAGCACGTTAATAGCTTACGAAAGGTGAAGCAAGGATTTCCGCCAAGCGGGACGGCTGATGGCCTAACAAGAACGGCTGTGGAAGCAGCAAACACGCTGCAGATGCAATATGCCCCCAAGTTTCAAAGGCTCTTGCCACCAAGCCATCTACCAACCGTTGTCTTCTCCTCGCCAGGACTAACCCACATCACATTTGCCGCGGAGGCTGTATTGCAAAAGCTGACGTCTCTACGCAAACACAACTCGCCGGATGTCGACACTATTCGTTCAGAGGCATTGGAAGCAGCAGTAAGCTAACTAGCAGGACCTATATCACAATTTTTCCAGCGCTGCTTAGACCAGAACCAAGTTCCCGCCAGATGGAAGTTTGAAATAATAACTGCGATTCCCAAAGGTGGAAGCAGAACTGATCGCTCCAACTACCGCCCAGTATCCCTTCTTCCCATACTCTCCAAGGTCATGGAATCCATAGTTGCTGACGCACTGGTGTGCTATCTGGAAAACTGCAACATCATCACGCCTGAGCATCACGGTTTTCCTCGACAACGGTCATGTACTACGAAGTTACTAATTACACGCAGTAGTTGGACAGAGGTAGCTGACACTGGAGGTGTTGATGTGATCTACCTGGATTTTTCCAAGGCTTACGGTCGTCGAGACCATCGGATACTACTATCCAAGCTGCAGCATCACGGGATCGGCGACCTTCTTTTAAGCTGGATCGCCAAGTTTCTACTTCAAAGGCAATTAGTGGTCAGAGTTCGGAGCTCTTTATCAGACCCCATACAAGTTGAGTGTGGTGTGCCGCAAGGCTCAGTTCTAGGTCCACATTTGTTTTTGGTATATATTAATGACCTTTCACAGGGAATCGCTTCAAACTTCCTAATGTTTGCCGACGATATCAAGATCTGGCGCCGGATCCAGGCGAACGCCGACCAATATGTGCTTCAGAGTGACCCAGATACGGTGTATCAATGGTCAATCCAAAACTTATTGCATTTCAAGGTCAGTAAATGCAAGGTGCTTTTCATCCGACGTCAGGGCAGCTATTCATACCGGCGCGGAATGAATATACTACAACAATCAACTCTCGAACGTGACTTGGGTGTCCTGGTTCAAGATGACTTGGGTTGCTCCAGGCAATCCGAAAAGGCCTCGAAGACCGGAAACCAACACTTCGGGCTGGTACGATGGGCGTTTGGACAAATAAACAGCTCCATACTTCGACAAATGCTCGGTGCGTGTGTCCGCCCCCATGTCGAATATGCAATTCAAGCCGGGCATCCATGGCTGAAACACGACTTTAATGCACTGCAGCAGCCACAACGCCGGGCATCTAAGAACGTAATTGAAATGCGCAATCTTTCCTACCAAGAAAGCCTGCAAAGATTGGGGAGCGTTCAGTGGAAGCTATCGCAGACTACGAGGCGACCTGATTATGGCATACTTGATTCTGCGAGACCCACATCATGTGTGCCGCCCTTTACTGCAACTCAGCAGCAATACGAACCTGAGGGGCCACTCGTTAAAACTCGCAGAACAATACAGTCGTCTGGAGTGCCGCAGAAATTCCTTTTCCATTCGTGTCCGTCACCCGTGGAATGCTCTCCCAGAATCGGTCGTCTCCGCACCGACACTAACAGTATTTAAAAGACGGTTGGACGATGCACTCATCCACTTAAACTTTGTTACTTAACACTACGTCTCCATCCTACACGTGGAACTTACCATGGAATTATTTGTTGTTAAGTGTGGGTGCTGTGAATCTAAGAAGATCGCAGAACAACAGCGGAGCAAACGATAAGTCCTTATTTTCATATTTAAAGTATTAACTATTTTACTATCCTTATCATCATTATTGTTATGTTGATATCCCCACAAAATATCCAACGGGACTTGTAAAGCAACGTTTGTTAACCCGTAGAAATTAATTGTTCATTGAAGCAAATGAAAACGGTAAAGGTAATATATGACGCGAGCGCAGAAAGGGAAAAAAATAAATTTGTCGTTTAATTCTCCCTTCCCTTGCTCAGCTACACCTGTTTCGCATCCCTCAAAACTTAATACGTCAAGCCCAACTCGCGCCTTTCGAGTCCACATGTGTGGGAAAGAGCAGAAACAAACCGTGAGTTTATCTCCACCTTTCTTACTCCTGCTAAAATTCAAAGTTCCCTTGACCAAAACATACTAAAGGTGCAAATACCACAATTGATTACTCGATGTAACAGCAACCGATCTCATTACTGTCTATAAGCCCAATTTCTGAAAGTACTCTCATGGTTCCTTTTCGCCCTCTCATCAGACGCCGTACACGCATAGACTGGCCAAGAGAGTCCAATATACTCACGGTGGAACAGAAACAGGTGGGAAAGGGTGGCCACAACCACACACCGTGAACGCTTTTGGCAGGGAACCGAAATGCCCAACAATCTCCACCAGAGAGCAACTGGAACACTCGATAGAATCCGACCTCCGTGAAACGTGTACGACAATCCAATTGTATGGTAATTGATCCTGCTTAGGTGTACATAATTCAACCTCCTTTCAGGTGACATGCGAGAAAATGTGGTTGACTATCATCTTTAAGAACGACGGAATTACAGCCTCATATGTATAATAGTTTATTTCTCGATGTATGCTCAATTAGAAAAGCAAATGATTAACCAAAAATCCGTCACTACGCGGGAACACCCTCGCGCATCCCTGAGAAATAGAGCACTTTGTCACTGATAGCCTAAATGGGGTCGAAATGACACGTTTGCCTCTGGATCGACAAATAAGACGCAGCGGTGAAGTTAGCCTGGAACTTTCGGATTCACGTCCACATTTTCTACTCTTAGTAAATGTTGTGTCCCCAGGCGTTCGACTTCTTAAATTGCGCCCCACGAGTCAAAAAGACACGCACTGGACAGGAGGTATATTTGCAGAACACTACACGGGCCGACGTGGGTATGAAAACACACAAAGTCCAGTCCCAATCATGGCTGAGGGCTAATTTGAATTTATCGATCTGAAAGAACCACGGGTCGTGTGAGGGGCATGTAACAAGCAGTAGTAACAAATGTTCTGAAACATGGAAAAACACTGTGTTTTTCTTTCACCTCCAACACCTCCCTCTCTTAAAAATGCGGGTTACCTGGGGTTCACGTAACTCTTTCGACGCGGATCCACCTAAGTCCACTTGGATCTGCGACCATGGGGGTACGGGCTTCGGCCAAGACATCAGTGTCGCCCGTACTGGTAGATGAGTCATTGACTCTTTGATCAAATTTAACTTCGTAATCCGGTTGGTTCCGTGCAGCTTAACATTTGTAGAGTATACTGGGTAGATTTTTCCATAGTGTAGCAAACCATTGAGTCTGCGTTCACAGGCGATGCTTCCTTTCAGCTGCAGAGGTTCCTCTGAAACCTTTTTAACCGTTAGGATTGTAGGTTTGACTGACGATGTGCCAAGTCTTGCCCGGGTTCCAAGAGAAGTGCTCTTGAGAGCATGCAACGTTTCTGGCAGCAGCGATATCGGGACATACTTGCGTTTCACTGTGGTGTATTTCCTCTTCCCTGAAAAGTGTGTACGAAATACTGCAAAAGGCGTCTCTCTCACTGTGCCGAGATAACTGTTTCTTTTGAATTTTGAGCTCGCTTGCAACCTTGGAGTATACGCGCATCTGAATTGGTGCGCCTTTTGACAATGATGATTTTTGTGGGCGCAATTTCTCACAGAACGTCTTCCATCACCGTTCCATACTGCAGTCGGGGGCTTCCATTTCGGCACGTTTCCATTCACATTTTGGACACCAATGACTGTATGACAGGGCTGGGGTTCTTCTCTGTGTTCTGAAGTTGCAATCGTTTCTGGGTCATGATTCAAACTGGGCAGCTTGTGGTATTCAGATACAATTTCCTGGGTTGTTAACCTCAGTTCCGGTTCCCATTCCACTTGAATGTTGAGCTTTTCTGATAACAACTGAATTAACTGCCGCTGTGATTTTTCAAACTGGAGTTGTTGCTGCTGTAGGAGGGACTGCAACTGCTCGAATGAAATAGCCATGATAATTCAACACCTCCGTCGCCAGAAATCTGTTGTCTCCCCAGGCGTTCGACTTCTTAAATTGCGCCCCACGAGTCAAAAAGACACGCACCGGACAGGAGGTATATTTGCAGAACACTACACGGGCCGGCGTGGTTATGAAAACACACAAAGTCCAGTCCCAATCACGGCTGAGGGCTCATTTGAATTTATCGATCCGAAAGAACCACGGGTCGTGTGAGGGGCATGTAACAAGCAGTAGTAACAAATGTTCTGAAACATGGAAAAACACTGTGTTTTTCTTTCACCTCCAACAGTAAATACGCAAGGAACTAGCACTAGTAGTGTTAATAATCACACTCGTCAAATGGACCAAGGTAATTTGAACCACCGCGCTTCGGTGCATTGAAAATGACATACTGCAAATAACACTGGTTCTTGATCAATGGATTATGATAAGAGCTCAGAAATTAGTACATTCCCAGAGTATAACCCAGAAATCTGGAGCGCAAAATGTCGCACCAGGGCTGCACGGTGATAGTGTTCGTCTCGTGTTGCTAAACTTAATGGTGTCTCAGCGCATACCGAAAACCAAATAACGGATCTGCAAAGTAAGAAAAGATGAAAGCTGCCCAAATTCAGCCAAATAGTCAAAAGCCATAAAACGTTCGCCAATCTGCCTCCGGCTAAGAATATGCGTCTGGTCGAGGTATGCAAAAACGTTGAGAATTTGGCAAGTCAGTATTTTCATGCACAATCCAAGTTGGCAGGTGCAAAAATGAGCACAGAAAGTACGCACACCTTATCAGTTTGCCGTAGATAATAATAACTGTGTAAACCGAATCTGGACAGAAAGCATTGACGGAATCGTAGCAGACTGCAACGCGGCCCGCGTTAAAGGATGAAAATTAGGCAGTGCACATCAAAAAATATGTAATTTGCTGCCGAATGGAAATCCTATAGTTTAATGACGTAATCAGTAGCACTCACTCAGGTGGGTAATGTTAACGTGGAGCCGGAGATCGCGCATTCTGGCATACGACTTCTCGCAGTACCCGCACGTGTAAGGGAACACTTCTGGAACCAAAAACAAGATGTTGACTGTTAAGCGCAACAAGAAAGAAAAAAACCGCAACAAAAAGTTTATGCGCCACCGTAGGTACAACCAGCTTGGCATTTTGTAACTGATCATTTAATTGGCGGAAGAAAGCTTAATGATTTCACTGTATCTGGCTGCCTTACCTTCGTCTGTGTGACATTTTTAAGCAACTTACAGAACACAGAGGTGGTGATTGTACGACTGGAGTCATTACGACACATTCGGCAACCAGCAGATCTTTAGGCTGCTGATTAATAACTTAGACGATTCCCTAAGCTCATCAATAAGAAATTCGCAAATGCACATTAGTCCAATGAAGGCACTGCGAATAACCGTCGGTAGGCACATACGCCACTGCAGACATTAAAGCAATGGGGGAAAATTCCTCCATGATGTGAATCTGGTCGAGTGAAAAATGGTCAACAGTACCGATCCGAAACTCAGGCGAAGTGAGTAAGTTAAGCCGGTAAGATAGTAAAGCAAGGTGGTTGTGGTGCACACTACACCTGCTCCGGTCGCGATGAGTCATGTTCAGGGATTCAGAAGTGGTGGTTCGATGCGCATCAACAAAATACCACTGTACAGCGTAGAAGGCAAGCATTGCCGGCATCGTCTAAGAAAGAAATAAAATAAATGATTTGTTTCTCAACAATGTGAGGCACAGTCCAACTGATTGGTCTGATCAGGAAGAATGATGAAATCGCATGGAACACACGAGATTTTTTCCGGGCAGTTCCCAAACCATTTCGGAGGTTGATTGATCAGTTGAAGCTTTCAAAAAGATTGTGAAGTTCGTAATAATAATAAATGAGAAGAAATCTAAATGCTGGAGTAGCAACATAGAAAACAGTGGAACAGTCTCCATGGGATCTGCTTCCTTGTCGAGTAGCAGCGCGAGGGGGAACGCCTCGATATGAGCCATGTGCCACCTGAAGCAGAGACATTGTCATCGCGCAGAAGAAATTTTGAGAACAGCGACGTTCGGTCACCGATGCTTGAACGCTGATCATTTAGATGCTTAGCATCGGGTTTCGCATTTAAATGTCAGCTTGCTGTCACGGCGTGGCCAAAGGGCCCAGTGGTAGAGGAGAATAGAGAGCGTTGATGGTAAGCCAAGTGCAGTTAAAGCAGGGCGTTTCCTCGAATCCGTAATCTAGATAACAGAATGCTGTGCCAGATACGCAACAGTCACAAAGGCAACGGCGCTGTTGCACTCGTCCTTCAAGCTAATCAGTCCATTAAAGGAATGCAGCCATATATTTAATCATGTCGTGACAGTACCACTGTTATTAGATACACCACCGGTATGTTGGTTACATGAGTTAAGACAGGCGGATGCAAAACGTCTTGGTGCACGGATCAAAGCAAATACCCTGGAAAGAACAGAAACAATGGCTACAATGTAAGTAGCTGACTAATGAACGCTGGTCGACAGTCGGTACCAAGTTAGAGGGGGGGACGCACAACAGATGCAATCTTTCGATGAAGTGCCATCACTAGTTGCGGTCTGTTTAGGATGGAACAGGTTGGAACCAATGACAAGACACGTGTCGTTCACTGAATCAAGTGACCTGAAGCGAGTGGCTGAATAGCGTAAGGCGAAACCGTAATCAACAATCTCGCGGAAGCTCAGACCGCTTACTGACGCTAAACCAAGTACCGCATAAGCATGCACAGGAAAGTTCTACGCCAACATTAAACCAGTCCAAATAGACCTAATGCACTTGGGTAGGCACATTTCCAGCATTTTACACAATCGATGTGAATAGAGATATGCATAACGTTAATAGATAAAAATAAATAATGTGTCTAATACAGTACCAAAGCAAACAAATGCGTACGATTTTATTGAATTTCGTTCGGTCAACAAGTGGTCGTGAAAGTACGGTAGGGTATAATTTTGGTAAGAAGCAATACGAGAGAAACAGATAGCGATTATGACAAAACGCTGTGTAATGGACGAGAAGGGTAGTTTAGAAGATTAAAAGGAAAACTATTACAAGCGTCTAAATGTTTGTTGACAACAAAGTCAACAAATAACTGTTGGCGAGCATAACAAACAGTGTGTACATTTTCAAAGATACCCAGGAAACATAACTAGGGAACAGTACAGCCAGTGACGCAAAATGCATGTAGTTGCCAAGTTAGAAATCAAATCACGTGATACCGAAAACATTTTAACCATGAAGGCATAAAAGGAAAGCCTTGTAACTTTGTGGTAGGGTTCGGCAAAATGGATAGAAGAAAACAGCTTTAGGGATATAAAAAGCTCCAAGATAGTTGGTAGTTGATATCCTGTCCATGAGCTGACCACTCACGGCCAATGAAGAAATGATAATCAGAACGGTCTGTAGATTATCAGATCGAAGAAAGAAGTAGGTTGCATCACAACATTGACAAATGTTTGTGGATAATGCGTCTGAAAATTTCAGAATACTGATTTCGGCACATTGCACCAGTTACTTACATTTACAAGGTACACAGAAGCAGGAATACGCTGTTGAAAGTCAGCATGGAAGCGGATGAAAACGGTGTGAAATGGCTTAGTAGATTCCATCAGTATTTACACTAATGGATTCTGGAGGCTCCGGACTGTAGCTTTGTTGGACGCTGATTTAACCTGACCTCACCAGACAGAGCTTACTAACCTGTAGAACAATGATGGGTAAACCGAAGAAGTGATCAAAGTCCAGTCGTCACCAGTGTTCCATCTGAATGAGTTCTTGTCAGGGCCACGGTAGACTTAGAGTTTGCACCAGTAGCCTCTGCTTATAAAGCTCCGGTTGCAGCAGTCTGATCGTGGTCGCTACAGCTTTCGTTTTCTGAGTGTCTTTGTGTATCGCTTCGGAACGCTGTAAAAGACTTTGAAGGCATCACTGGTCGAGATCTCATGTGCATTTGGAAGTAGATGTTCCAGTATGGAACTGTTGATATCCATGACGATGCCTCACCACAAGGACCCTGTGCAATGTTTAGCTATCCATTTCGATAGATGTCTGGTTGTATGTCCAAGATAGCACCACAGGTGCAAGTAAACAGTTATACAACATAGGGTTCGGAATTGACTGGAAGTCTGTCTTTGAAATGTTGCGCAACAAACGGTCTGGTCTACGCGAGAACGCGTGAATGGACTGCTGGGAAGGTTTCAGTTACTGCTGACATTCGACAGCTTATTGCTATTTCCATCTACTCTGTAAACGTTATTACCTAATGCGATTTACCGAAAAGAGTTCTCTCTGCAACTGTGAATGCAGAAATTTACAGATGTTCGAAATGGGCGCATGGACGATGACGACATCACAAACTCATCCAGACCATACTGGAGCGTGGATACCTTAAGGTTTGCAGCTATACATCCTATAACGACATCATCAGCATAGTGGTAGCAAATAAAGCTAGTGGGTAATGGAAGTTCATCAATATATAAAGAAAACACCACAGTCAGAGCAAAGCACAAATAACTTAATTTCCTTAAGCTGGGAGCAGTGGGCACATTTTGCAAAGTAGTAGTCTATAAGCACGGTATGCACATTATTACAGTATGATCTGTTGCAAGTCCCCACAAGGACTAAAATAATTTGTGCTTTTCAGGCGGTGCAAATGATACGGAATACACAATGTACGACATGGAATTCAACGTGGAGCAGTTGGGTTAATGGGCAAACCGGTATACATTGCCACCATCATCAAAACAGATTAGTTTAAAGTGAGAAACACACCACAACTTTTGTGACACAATATAAAAAGATAAGATATACGAAAAAGTGAGGTAGTAAACATTAAAATATAAAAGAGACAGATAACACACGGCTTAGTACTACAGTATGCCTCAAGAGTGAGACTGTGCTTGGATGGCAAGGATAAGTGGGATGCAGAGGGACAAAGAAACTCACAACACAAGCACGTTTGAGGTCAGCTTCTTGCCAGGTGAACAAGTGCATCCAGCCAGAAGTGGTCATTGTTCTTCGGACCCTAGCCCGGCAGTCGCGAGATACCAACCGACGACGAGATCGGAGTAAGGCACGTCATAAATCTTGATCAAGTTATCGTTTAGCCTCTCCTTGGCTTCCATCAAAACCTAGGGCACACAAACAACGCACATCGCGTTGCTGGCATGCGCAACACATGGCACAGTCATCGGAGCATGGTGAGTGATATAACGGCGCTGAGAAGCTCACTCGTTCTTTCTGCACCAAAAACGACGTCAAACACGCTTGTCGCTAATGCGGTGTTCTCCCAGACATGAGCCAAACTGGGAGGACAGCGATTTTCGAAAAAAAACAAGCCCGTCTAGGTATGCCAATCTGATAGACCAGGTTTCGGGTCAGTATAGGAGGGTTGAATGCACGGCTGCGTTATAGGCTGTGCCTCAAGGCGACACCATAAGTGGCAGAGATTGGCGAAAACGCATCGAGCCTTTGCTTTACGTTCCGGGATCTCATTTTCAATTCCAATGACTCTGTTATACCTATCCGGGCAGTTGAATTTCTCGACGAGTTCTAAGTGATCATCATCATGGATCAGAGCAGGAGTGTGACCTAGCAAATCTTCGAGAGACTATGTGTTTTGACGATGTGATGCAAAGCCTAAAACGATTGACAGCCAGTCTGAAGTTGTTCAGTGAAACTCGGTACGTTTGTAAGCCTTTCGGCTTATATGAGTTCATCCACACGCCTTTTGGTCTCCGCAACGCCGCACAGTCATTTCAGCTTTTCATGGATCAAGCCCTTCGTCGCCAAGGCTTTGCTTTCGTCTACACTGACGACGTCCAGTGCCACACCAGAAGAGCACTTAAAACACCTTCGACAAGTCTTCGAGCGTTTCGACCATCACGGAATCACCATCAATCCTGATGAATGTGTTTGGTCAATCATGGACCGACTTTCTTGGCCATAGAATCAATAGTAAGGGTATCAGTCCTATTCCTGAGAAGACCCAGGCAATCATGGACTACCTACCTACACAATCTGTTAGAAACCTACGCCGTTTTCTTGGCATGATCTACTACTATGGAAAGTTCATTCACAACCGTGCTGACGTTCTTCAACCACTGACTGATTTGCTGAAAGGTAACCCGAAAAAGTTTACGCTTACACCGGAAGCTGAAACTGCATTTCTTGCTAGCAAACAGAAGCTAAGCCAGGTAAGCTAGTTGAAAGGGGATGAGAATGTCATTCTCATTCATAAAACCGATGCCTCACAATCCGCCGTGGGAGCTGTTTTACAGCAACTGATCGGAAATGAGATCCAGCCGTTGTCTTTCTTTTCTCGGAAGTTCCAGCCAGCGCAGACCCGATACAGCACTTTTCGTCGCGAACTGCTCGCAATCTACTTAGCAGTCCAACATTTTCGTCATGTCCTTGAAGGACGTTTTGTAATCCTGACGGATCACAAGCCTCTAGTCTACGCCTTTCGTTCCGCTTCCGATCGCTATTCCCCGAGAGAAACACGGCACTTGGATTACATCACTCAATTCTGTACCGACATTCGCTATATTGACGGTTGCCGATGCACTGTCTCCTGCTCATGTTCACCAGATTTCGCCCTCACCCATTAGCCTTGAAGACATATCTGTAGCCCAGGCGAACGACCCAAAACTTGCAAACCTTCGATCGAACATCTCATTGTGATTCATGCACTTGCCTATGTTAAACTCAGACGCAAGGATTTACTGCAATGTTTCCACCGGTAAGCCAAGACCCTTTGTTCCCCAGTCTTTTCGGCGTACTGTGTTTGACCATTTCCATGGACTATCGCACCCAAGCATTCGGTCCATCGTAAAGTTAATCACCAACCTAATATGCGCGTAGACATCCGGCAATGGGCTAAGCATTGTCTCAGCTGTCAGAGGAGCAAAGTTCATCGACACACCATCACCTCCCCCGGAACTTTCTCACATCCTGAATCACGGTTTAGACATGCCCACCTAGAGTTAGTTGGACCTCTCCCTCCATCTAACGGTTTCACCTTTATTCTAATGCGTGTGGATCGTTTCACTCGTTGGCCATACGCGATTCCTTTAGGTGACACTTCTACTGAAACTGTGGCTTGTGCAATTCTCGAATCATGGATTTCTCTCTTCAGCGTATCAGCTACGAGCGAATTGCTGGAGAGCTCTTGTAGTCTTTGTAATTTGAAGCCGATTTATGTGATTGCGTCCGATCTGCACGCTTGTTGACTTCATCACCTAATGTAGTAGAACCTTTAACTGTTGAAAATAGAAGCTCTTAAGAGTGTGGAATGGGTCAGATAGTAGAGAAACTATTACTAACTACAACAACTAACATCTCACGCATTAAGCACTCAAAACTACCAGTATGTGATGTGACTCGTAGATTCTCGTCAGACCTTTGTGTCGTAAAACATTTCTTCGCAGTAACGTGAGGCACATATTTTTGACTTGGTCACCAAGGAAAATTTCAAAGTAGACTTTTTAGACAACTATACAAAAGAAGTGATAATCATCTTATGACTAACTGGAGGAGAACAACCGCAGAGGTAGCAAAATCAATTTCATAGGCATGACTACTGGAGTAAGCTACCAGATGTTTGCAACAAAATAGTATCAGTACAATACTTTCCATTTAGTCGAAAATACAAGATGCAAGAAAAGAAAGTAGGCAGTAAAACGGGTTTGTAATAGAAAATAACATCAAGGAATCGTTTAGGATCAATTTAAACATCTCTTAAAGCAGAAAGTTGTAGAAACTAGTTGCCGCGCGTAATATATGCAATAACAGTGGAAATTTTGCTGTTTAGGCACAAAGAAAAAAGCAACAGAGCTTAAAGAAGCAGTCAAGATAGCACTCACTGAAGTGGATGGAGGCAATGTGAAACTGGAGGTTCTTCTTTTGGTCAAAAGTCTTCTCACAATACTCACAGGTGTGGGCTCGTTCACCTAAAACAGATAACAAAACGCCGTCAGAGGAGTAGAAGATGAACAAGTATAAAAGGTGGCGAGTTAATAATGAGCATAAGCATGTCAACATTAGGGATAGACTCAATAGAACGCGCAGATAGGAGGTGAGCTGAGGACAGTCAGTGGAAGCCAGTCGTAGTGTCGGACTCGTAGTCCGAGGTGGCCCATCTCGAAACCCAAATCCAGGAGTAAGGCATTTGCGCGTGCTGTTTGACTAGGTTTCCGTACAACCATGAACATTATCTCCAACAGCAGTACATCAGCCATTTGAACTGATGCTTCGCTGTCGATCAAGTACGAGGTCCTACGGAAGAAATAATAATATCCTAGGAAAACATAGATGGTCAAGGTACCTACAGTTACCATCACAAACAGCAGGCCAACATAAAAATATAAGGCAGCATCAACGAGAGATTCCTTGTGGCTTTTACCACCTCGTGTTATAACCAGCCATTACCCCGCAGATAACTCAGCACCAAACACATTTTAAACTGCAGTCCGAATAGGAGAAGGCAGCAGACGCGCCAGTGGTGTCGGATGCGAGCCATGTCCTATAAAGTCTCGAGCCAAGCACAAGGCGGGTCAGGTGGACTCCAGCCTGGAAGGAGAGACGGACCGACGGCACCGAGTTGGGTCCTCAGTGACTTCGTTTCCCGTTGCTAAGTAAATTTTTGACCACATCGGGCCTTGCGCCAACCTAGATCTGGCAAACAAAATCAGGTTCTATTTTAAGTAGAAGGATTTTGGTGAAATTTTGTGGTCGTCGCGAGGAACTCGAAAAGCTCAGCAAAATCTTTCAACTCATAAGTATGCAAAAATCGCACTTTATAAACGCTATGTCGATTCAAACCTGTGGTAACCGGGACGTCCTGAGGCCGGAAGGCCGACGGCTGTCATCTGCATGGCAGTGGAGGATGGGTAGGGCTATATCGCAGTTATCTAACAATTCATGATGGTCGGCTATAGTTCCCAGCCATGGCTCAGTGGCATAAGCTGCGGGCTAGTTGGCGCAAGCCACTAACAGTCATGGATTCGATCCTCGTAAGAGGACCGAAGGATGCGCACCACTGATGAGCCCGAAAAGTTCGTTTGGTGCTTTTCCGGATTGGTAGTTGACTTATCTGAATTGTCGACCGATTGCCTACAACTCAAAATAACTAAATCCTACTAGGCAAGCGGTGACCAGGCATCCGTAATACGTGCCCAAGCCAAGGCAACTTATTCTGGGTTATCTGTTGTTCTAAAGAACTGGCTTGGTTATCACTGTCTAGCACACGCATACTCACACCACCGTTGCGCACAGGCTGCTGTTATCCGACACCAGTAATGTTTCGCAGAAAAAAATGGTCAAAGGCCTGAAGGCGCGTCAGATCCTCAGGCCCAATGAGCAGCGCTGCCATCACTGTGACCTAGTGAACATGCCTCTCAGACTAAGGGAAATGCCTTGCTGACGTCACAAATGTCGCAGATTCAAGAAGGTAGTTCTTGCTTTTGCAATACGTGAACTGACTTTGTCGGTGATGTGTCCATTGCTGCTGATGCAGATGACAGGCGAAGTAAACCATTTCCAGTTATTGGTTGTCAAGGGTCAATGGGTCACCAAAAGGCTGGTGGTCCTGCAACAACAAGTTGCACATTGTGTTAAAAATACGAGGTCAGCGAAGCACAGATCGATCGACTCTTAGGAGATTGCACTCAATGTGAGGTTGAATGCTAATCTTGGTGGGGATCAACAGCAAAGTTCAACTCAGAACTGAACCGCTGTGATAGTAAGCAGCATCTTTGATATTGTTGATGGTTACCGTGGGCTTAGTAGCTTAGCTTCATCTTATTTATATCGCTGTTTTCCAATACATTACAATTCACGGTCTGGCTAGTCTTTGACGTTTCATTACCGTGCGGGGTGGAACCGGTTTGGGGTGGCATAACACTTTGATGTTACGAAAACCATGGCAAACGTGAGAGGGTAACTGTACGGTCCACTCATCAATTGTTTGCAACGCTCATGAAACTGGTCTACGCAAATGCACATTGTGCCTACACCGTAGGTTCGTTAGCACGTGCTTACTATTCGCTCATTGTATTTCAAGACCATCCTTAAGCCGTTCCAAGCTCATATTCGTTCCTGTCAGGCCGACTTCATCACAACAGACCTTTATGCTTACGCAAATGTCATCAGATCGTGCAGTTTCTCGTCTATTATACTCACGCGTCGATTCGAGATACTTGCAGTCGCCACCATGACATAAGCCCAGTCCAAGTTAACAATGCCCTCACTTACCCCTCTTTTTTAGAAGTCTCTAGTATCCATCTAAACATCGTTCTGTAAGCCGTTCAAAGAGAGTGGTCACGCAGATTGGCATAGATTCCAACCAAGTTTACCTCTCCTACCACCGAAAATTTGGTACCTCAGCTCAAGTTTCCCAAAAGCACGATATCTGATAGGGCTACTGATTTACTGGCTTTACAACCTTAAAAGACAGACCAATGTCGAATGACTGAGGATTCATTCAACGACAGAAGCCAAGAAACGAAGAGAAACTTCCCACTGCTGATCAACAAGCCAGGTTAAGCAATGTTCGAGGCCAATCTTTTGCAAGACCTGCTTGGACTGAATAATGGCGAGAAAATTTGATCTTCATGCGCATGAGTTCACCAATTTAAGTCCTTAGGAAAATTGTGATCACGACAGTGAGTTTTTGCAGAGCATAATTGATAGGTTCCGCAACGTGGTAAATTGGGGTTGAAAGTGATGCTAATTATCAGTTGTGGAAACAAAGCTAATCAACAAAGTCGGCTAATGGAAATAAACTTTTTGGATGAATCTAGTCCGCGACTGATATTGCCCCGCGTAAATAAGCCGAAGGGTTTGATGATGCATAGTCGTTCAGACCTGGATCAGGTGGACAGAGAAAAACTCAAGTTTACCATCATTGAATTGAGAAGAGGTAACGGTGATGGGGAGAAAATCTCTGAACGGTAAATTTTTGGGTAGTTTCCGAAATTCCAGGAAACAGGATAAAGAGGTTGCTCACACTTCACATACGCCCAATGGTTCCCGCCGAGACCTTTGTCAACATCTGTAGTTTTGTGAACAAGCGTAATTAGCTGAGACGCTCGGTTGCTTCTGAAGCGACCAGACGCAGTTGGAGTAGCAGAGATCTAGCTGAATTATGAAGAAATCACTCAGGAATTCGAGCTTAGTGAATGTGGGTATTTCCGCTGTGATAGGTTATTGTACCCCCAAGGTCGTGTCCTGCGCTACATCCAAACTTCGTGTATAGGAGACCTTCGAGCGTCTACCAAAGGAACGATGGTCTAGCTGAGCAGTTGTGTTGTACGGTCCACTTCAGACTGGAGAGTTGTTCGTGAATGAACTTTATCGAACTCCCCAGAGCTGTCTCCGGATCGTCCACCGCATTTTTCATTCATGGGCGATTTCTATTATCCTCGAACTTATGCTTATCCCCGAACATCGTGAAACCGAAGCAAAGTTCGCTGAAATGGTACTTGAAACTGGAGCATCGTGACACATCTACAGAGCGACGTACAGAACAGCAGGCTCAACTACAACGCGTCAAAACTTGATATTAACAAGCGGTGAACATGTGTATGTCGCAGAGATCCCGGAGCCCATGGAAGCAAGCGGTCACTTATTTCATGATACCTATAGTATATTCCGTCATCTAATAGGCTATCTAAGCAAGAAAGATGAAGAGGAAAAAGAAGAAATGAATCCCGCTCGACAGTAAATGGAACATTCCGCTTTAAAATAAGTCAAATAAAGCGACCGAATTGTACAATCCGGATACAACTACGTCTCTCACATTTGGCTTCGGTACACGAAACGCAGAAGCGAATTACGGACGCAGTATATTTCACTCGATAAAACCGAAATCATTGAGGGTTATCCCATTGGAAGATCGAAAAAAGGTGACCCCACGAGTGTATTTAGAGGTTAGGAACCAACGCAGTTAGCTAAGATACAGCTCAAGGCCGAATTACCAAGTGCAGAGCAACCGTCCGCATGAAACGGTGGGGATCTGTGTAGCCCGCGAATCGGGATGCGTGGGAGAGATGCTGGCAATCCGAGACTGAAGCATCTCATGACCGAACGACCGACTAGCATAGAAACCGATGGTACGAACGGCGGAGAATCGGACAGACCGCGGTTTGAGCTACCAAGAAGCAGGAACAGTGTCATCGATCTGGACCTTGCCACAAAAAACACTAACCATTAATGTAGACATCCAAGGCACTTTTGTGGGCGGGACCTTTAAATCGGCTGTTGGCTTTTTCGCCGAACATCATTTTTACATTATCTAGTGTATATACCTCGGTATTGCACGATTACGTTGACAGATGTTTTGTTCGAACAATTTCCAAGGTCATTGAGGCTCTTTACCCCATCCAACTTTGAACATACACGCCAGATATAGCGCATGATCCGCGATCTATTGTCTTCGGACACAAAATCCTATGTCAATTGAAACGAATTTTGAAGAAACGTTTTCATGAGACCTTTTCGTCTTCAAGGGATACAAATCCCGAAGATTTATTCCAGCTTTTTGGAATCGTTGCTCGATCGATCAATGACAGTGAATCCTCTATTTTCTACCCATTGTAAACTTTACATTTTTAATGGTAACCCGTTAGTCAATTTACAGTTGATAATGTAAATGCTGAAAATGTACCCTTTTGGTACATAAATCTTAGATTGACTTGAATTTCCGTGTTCATTAAAAGAGGAACAATTCCTTTCGGGCTCCGGGAGCCAGTGAGGAAGTACCTTAGGTATATGGTGGATAAAAATATTATTACATCGGTACAGATTTCAGTTTGGGCTACTGCAATAGTCACCCCACTCAAGCGTGACGGTAAAACGGTCAGAATTTGTGGCGACTTTCGGGATACATTGAGCGAGTGCTTATTACAAAGATACTGTACTACGGCAGAAACTGAGGATGTGCTTTAGCAGCTGAGCGAATCCAAGTGTTTTTCTAAGCATGATTTGAAGGATGCATATTTACAGATACCACTTGACGAACAACCTAGTGCCCTTACAACTATAAATACGCCATTCGGGTCATACTGTTTCCATATTTTACCGTTTGGTCACACCGTCAATTTTTCAAGATGTTATGAATTCCGTCACTGAGAAACTAGCAGGTATTGTAGTATACCAGAACGATGTTATTGTTTATGCTCCTTTAAAAGCACTTCACGAAGAGGACATCTGTGCACATTTCGAAAGGTTTTGTGAATTTAAGGTAGCCATAAATCCTTCAAAATGCACGTTCCGTACATTAACATGTACTCGTATTGACTAAATCGTCGATGGAAATGATTTTCATCTGGATCCTACTCGGTTCTCTCAGTTATTTAATGTCAGTACTCCCAGAAGCTTCGAAGAACTTCGTTCTTTAATAGGTTCTCTGCAATACTATTCAAGGTTTACTCCTAATTTCGCTGCAAAAGCAGAGCCTCTATTCGAATTACAGTCTGCAAAAACGTTTGTTTGGACCATCAATCATGAAAATGCGTTACGTACTTTGCTCCGACTTCTATCAACGGATACTGTTTTACGACCCTCTTCGGGACAATTGCCATCAACTGATATCATCGACGCAGTTACAATCGCCCATAAGCAGGAAGCGGGGCCGGCTCATGTAGCTTCTGACATGTGGCAACCAATCCAGACATTGACTTCGCGGGCTGCGATAAGCTGCACCCCCAAACCATGCACCCTATTTCAGGCGGATCGAGCACCATAGCTGCTCGCACAGGCCATTTCGCTGCGGTATGTCTTTAACAGTCTCCGCACAACGAGGACTAACTGTGTAACAGCACAACACCGCGCTCATTTGGTAATCTGCCGCTCTGGAAGCAGGAGTAGCCACTGATCTGGATTTCCTGGGTACTGACCTCAGGATTTAACCAGTTTTCGGTCTGGACGAGGAGAAGCAACAAATTGATATAGACCATCACGTTCGTGCACTAAACTATAAACACTTGTGAACCCTACTAGCAGGCTACGGTTGGAACCACCGGACGCGCAAGAAGCGTTATCGACCAGTTGATTTCGGATTGGCCGACCCTGAGCACTACCCGAAAATTAACGTTGTGAAGGTTACTTTCCCCAATATCGTCACGCCGCGCTTCAACTTCATGATAGCGGATTGCAGTTGCTCTCGATCCGACGGATCCATAACTGGACAAATATGGATCTTTAACTATTTTAGCCTACCAATGCTGGATAGTACCAGTCTCCGAGTTGCGTCATCTGCAAAGCTGACTCGTAGAAGCCGAACCTTTCCTTCCTTACTTTTCCAAAGACAGGCGATTTGCTCCACCCTCAACCTTCGTTCACCCACATCGAGGAGCCTATCAATCAGGCTCTGTAGATATTCGACGTCGTGATCATAAGGAGCCTGAGGAATCGTATCCGTTGACTCAGGCGCGCAAATACCATAAGACTGCAATGCCGCTGGTCTCTGGCAGCTGCTCTCCCCTTCTTATTTCATTCTGTTCGCCATTCTCTTCCTCCTCCTCCAAAGCGTGTACACTGTAGAGAAAGTGCCGGCCGAGTTGAAGGAAGCCCTTGTGCTACCATCGTGCAGACAGGGAGCAAACAATGTGCCAAGAACAAACATGGAGTTAAACTTGCCGACTTGTGTGGGGAAGGTGATTGCCCGAATCCGGCTCAACCGCCTCGTCACTCAGGTCGGTAAACCGAAGGTGGCAGAAGAGCAGTGCGGCATCTGTTCGGGCCGCAGCACTATCGATATGGTGTTTGCGGCTCGTCAGCTGCAGGAGAAGTGGCGAGAGCGAAAGCAGCCAGAGCAGTCACAGTGCAAAAAGTTTAACAAGGCAATGACACGGTGACCCGGGAGGCACGGTGGATGGTGTTGGGTAAGTTTGGTTGCCTGACTAGATTTACAGGCCTAATTAAATGTCTGCATAGTGGCATGCGGGCGAGGGTGCAGCCATGTGGACAAATCTCGGATGGCTTTGATGTCGTGAAGTGTAAATTAAGTCTGTGCCTTAGCCCGTGCCGCTCAATAGTTGTTCAAATGCTATGGTATAATGTGCTTTTAATGCATGCGATTACGGTGTCCGTATGGAGCACGGAAATGATAGTGCGTTGATAAACATCCGCCGATCCGGGGCGAGAAGCCTAGTGAGTATAATCGCCATCCGTAGGTTGCTCTTTGCCGACGACTGTGTGTTGCTCGTACACAGCGAGAATGAGATGCAGCGCCTGAAAACAGGTATCGCTTCGACAACGGACTCACCATCAACACAGACAAGACTATTTGTCCTACTCAGACTACACCAGAAACAGAATCTTTAGACTGGCCGTAAATCCAGTTTCGTGATGACGATTTTGAAATCGCTCCGAGATTTCGACACCTATGGAGCGTACGTTCTACCGACATTCAGATGAAGAGCGAGCCGTGCATCCGCGTACCAAATGTGGTTGCTACCTTCAGAATGACGGAAACTCAAGTGTGAAAGAATCACCAGCTGACGGTTGGGGCGAAGCTAAAGATACACAAGTTACTGGTACTGTCGGTTCTCTCGTGCGACGGATCGGACAAACATTCGCTATGTAGAGCGATTTCATTAACAATGTATGCGACTGATTCTCCCATCAGTTTACGTGACAGAATTGCAGACAGAGAAGTGGGATGTATGAAGTGAACTGCATACCGCTGCTGCGGCATTTGAGGTGGTTCGGGCATGTCCACCGTATGGAGTTCACGAGGATACCGAAACAACTGCTTGGTGGCCAATTGCGTGCACGGAAGTGGAACGTGAGCGGAGCGAAGCTACATTACTAATACAAAAGCAAGTGAAATACCACAAACAGTTGTTGAGAAGTAAAGGAAAAAGGTTGCTGCCAATGGCGTGCGCATAGAAAAATGCCACTGCGAAGATATATGAGGAATGTTGCGTCACAAGAGAAACGCCGTGTACGGAAGTGACAGGCGCCGATGGAGTAAAGTGCATCTAAGAGAGGTGCATGGCGCTGTTTCATATGCGTTCACGAGTGCCTGAGTCAAGCGGGTCTGGTAAACCAGCAGCGTTGCGAGGCTCCGCCAGTATGAAAAAGACGAGACAGTTGATTATCTAATCAGCATCAGCAAAGCATTCGTGGATACTCTGTGTCGCCTAGATATGATTTACTAACCCAGGCCAATTATGCGGCTGTTGTCATGCTTGTAGTGCATCGTCATTGCAGTTGGTCTGTACGTGTGCCTCCGTGTTGAGTCTCATGCATTTCATGTGCTGCCTGCTGATTGATATCGCCAGTGTGGCTGTGCTTAATGTGAATGTTGACAAGGTGCCTGCCAGTGGGAAACCGCTACCTCGATTATGCTAATTCCAAGGGATAGCTAATCATCGCTAGGGAAGCGCGGTGCACGTCCTCGTTACGGTGCTAGGCTCAGGGTGGCTACATCCAGTGTGGAACGGCAACCGCCCAACCACCGCCTTGAGTACGTGGGGTCCGCATAATTTCACAATTTCCTTATACAGGAATTCTGCTGCTGGCATGTTGAAGGAGTGTAGGCCGGCTGTGCTGATGAAACGTGACTCTAATACACATGTCTCCTTCGGGTTTACAATGGGGTGTGTGGATGCAGCAGTGATTAGTGCAGTGCAAGCCACCCATGGTCAATTTGAAGACGAAAGCGTCGTGTGGTTGGCCCAATGGAGGCTGCAGTGATAGATAAATCCGATTGTCACCAAAGGTATGCATAGAACATACAGAATCAGATGAATTGGGAGGTTCACTGGTCAAAGACCACAGCAGTCAATATTTGGAGGATTAAACAAACGACGTAACAATAAACCTCGGGGCCGTAGAAGTAACAACCCAAAGAGCTAGTAGTGGAAATAGAGTTCATACCATGGAAGCCGCGCAATATCACCAACACAACCTATACAAATAAAGATGAACTGGCCACACGAATTGTACGCTCACCTGAATGAACAACTCTGAGGTGTCTATGCATAGCACAACTCTTAGCAAACCATTTACCACAATGCCAACATGTGTAGGGTTGTTGAGCTGGAGAAGAAAACCGGAAGCGATCAGGTACAGATGAGCCACACAAGGAAAATGACAAAGTACAGCGAACGAAAGAATACATCTACGTCGAAATGGTGACCGTTAAATACCGGGATTCGCCATATCAAACAATATCTGACAGTGTACGAGGATCTCATAGCACGGAAAGCGAGTGCGAAGCGTCCATCAGCAGTAGCGACTACATCCTAATGGTATGTAAAAGGTGAGGTATACAACATTTATGACTGAATTGGGGAATCAAAGAGCACAGTGTAGAAAGACGTTCACTGGAATCACACCACCATTTAAGAGACAACATAGCTGGAGGACCATACCTGTTGCAGTGAGATACACAAGGTTCGCCTAGACGGGCTGATATTTATCCCACTCTGAACCAGCCATACATCATGTCTAGCTTATGGATCCTTCACTGGTTCCTTCCATCCACCTCCGAATTCCTACCCAAAATAAGGATTCCAACATTATCCAGGCAGTTATGTTTAACATCATCAGTAACCACGGTAAACTCCGACAGCCGGCTTTCGCAACACTGAAATAATACCAAATTCCCACTACTCATTAGTAATATAAAAATATTAGAGATTTAGCTCCCAAGACCTTTTTCGATGACGCCGGTGTCCGCATTTCGCAGTCTCATCAGCGCCAGCACAATAACAGAAAACAGAACAATTGGGATGGGACCGGATAAGTTAGAGAGAGAGTAGAGTACAGATATGCCAACCCTAGGTAATGGAAGCCTCGGGCTTACGAACAACTTTTTTTGCACACAGAGTGCTGGCTTCATCCGGCGGATCGCGACAGCCTCGGCGAAACGTAGGAAGCAGGTGTTGGCATGTTTCAACAAGATTCCAAACTGTGGTAGGGTCGAATGGATGACAAGTGGCCAATAAGTGTCTACCTATGGATGAGGCAAGTGGCTTTCATGAACAGGTGGTAGACGAAGCGAAAGACTGGGTAATTTCAAGCTGCACGCACTCAGGTACATGTTCACTCACTTTGGAACTTAACAATCTCTCGGAACGGCCAATGTAGCATGACCCGTAACTACATGTGAATTGGAGACGGTAGGTTAAATTTCCTTCGTTGGGACAATAGGCACTTTACTGGTTCCATGAATAAGCAGGGCTTCGGCAGCATAATAAGTCTTATGAACAGCGGAAATCATGCGCTTGGCAATGATCATGGTGGCAAAACCACTTTTAAAGGGTAGCCCTACAGTGGTCTTTTTGGCCACAATGAAGACCTTCTCTCTTAACACTCTCGTCTAGCTATGTTTTGTAATAAACCGACGATGATAACCGTTCTTCAAGAGCTCCTGCTCCTCCTTCAGGCAATCAGAGCTGCATATTCTTCTCGCGCGATAAAACCAAGTCTTGACTAGCGTCCGCTTGTATCGAATTGGATTGAAACTTGTAAAATGCAGATACTGCTCGGACCATTTAGGTTTTCCGTAAACAGATCTCTGATGAGAGCAATTTCTTTACGATTAGTCAAATGGGAGGCGGTTGTTACATACTACTTCGCTGGGTACTTTCAAATTGGTATGCACACGATAAAATATTCGACAAGATGTGTAAGTTGTTATCGATGAACAGAACACAAAAATATCATCCATGCAGCGTTGTAGTAGAAAAGGCAAGAAATTTCTGCACTCATTTTTGGACATGAAATGCGCTAATACTGGACCCCATCGACTTTGAATTTTTACACCATCTATGGGGTGTTTCGAAAGTGGAAACTGATTTTTTCAGTGCCAAGTAACAGGGTGTCTTTCAACAGCTCAGTTGGTATTGGAAATGATAATGGTGCAGTGTGAAATTACCCAGTCTTCCGCTTCCTCTGCCACCTGTTCACGAAAACCACCTGCCACATCCATGGGTAGGCACTTACTGGCCACTTGTCATCCATTAGATCCTACCACACAGTTGTTGAGACATGCTAACACCCGCTTCCTATGTTTTGCCGAGGCCGTCGCGATTAGCCGGTACCCTGTGTGCAAAAGCAGCTGTTCGTAAGCCCAAAGCTCCCATGGACGTAGGTGTGGCATATCGGTACTCCGCCATGTATCTTATTCGGTTACATCCTAATTGTAGGTCTATATATTTTCCTGTTATTGTAATGGCACTGACGAGACAATGCAATAATCGTAATATAAAAACCTGTCCGTATAACTTCTAAGTCCCATGCCGTACATAGGCGTTAGGGGAAAATCTTACCTCGTGAGGCTAACTGCTCTCCTCTGGACAGTTCGTGACTGGCATGGTAATGGATGAGGAGCCGGGCTGTACCCAAGTCAATTGTCAATCTCGCAGGTCCGCAGCTGTTCACTATGGCAAAGTGGTACTAGCTGCTGGCATCCGGAAGTCATGGGGTCCGAACCCGGTAGGGGTCCGATGGAAGGCACACCACTGAGGAGATCCAGGTCGAAAGAGCGCTGTATGGTGCTTTTCCAGATTTGCCAAAGCCAGCTGACTAAGAGTGGACTGTGATATCTTATCTCTTAAATATACCAAAAACCTCACTATACATTAGTTCGCTTACTAATTAAGTTCCTCGCATCAGCTTATGTCGTCACCGTATGAATGTAGCAGAATGCCTGGTTTTCAATTCGCCGTTTTTTAGAGAATCAGTGTGTTGTATCGAAGCCCAGACTGCTTTCACCCACTGTACAGATTAGCATTCATTGTCAATCGTTTTTTAACTACACTTTGCACTCCAGAAACATAAAGACTGGTAGTGACCCACGTCTATGCTGACCCTAGGCGGTGAACAGCTTGAATTATTCGATAAACTCAACTACCAAGGCAGCTATATTAGCGCATGTGAAAAGATACGATTACGAACCGTAGAGTAAAAGTTTGAAGCGCATTTGCTAATATCCGTCACCTGTGGAGTAGGTCCGACCTCAGTCACGCACAGAAGGGCAGAGACCACAATGTTGCCGTCCAATAAAGCCTATTGTACGAATGAGAAACTTGGCCCGTCAATCCGACATATATAAAGTGGCTAGTTACGTACGATCATCGCTGCCTTCGCATACTAGGTCTTGTCTGGTGGGAAAACCGCGTAAGCAATGAATGTGTTTGGCGCAACATATTTGGTGCAGAAAGAGCTAGTGAACCGCGCAGCACCAGGCCAGGAAGGCTAAGCCACGAGTTGCGCATGCCAGCACACCAGACTCACGTACCGGGTGTTGTTTGTGTGTAGCCAGTGTGGATGGAAGAAAAGAGGTTAAATGATGACTTGGTCAAGTGGAATGAAGTCCAAGGCTTCAAACTTGGCGTTGGGCTGGGATCCCCAGGACCATGAACACGTTTGAATGGATACACATGTTAAAATGGTGAAGAGTAGACCTAAATAGCGTTCACGTGTGAAACTCTTTGTCCCACTCCTCGCCTTTAGTTCTGCCCTCCAACCATGCGTTGGTACCCGACGCACAGTATGATGTGATGTTCAACATTATATTATTGTTAAGTTTTTGCAAACTGTAATGTTTAATGTCTTATCATTTTGTATTGCGACATATTAGCTGATGTTTCTCATCCTCAACTATTGAGTACTGATGACTGTGCCAAGAGCCAGCAATATAAAGACAAAAAACGAATCTGACGGCAAATTGCCAAAAGTACGAAACCGAGACCTTAACACAAGAAAAAAGCTTGGGGAATGCATACGGATGTGCAGTGGAGATACCGAAGCATTGATTGTAAAGACTTCGAAAAAAGTGCGCCACGCCATGAAGACGTTCGTAGGTAAGTGGAAAGGTTTGTGGACAGAAAAAAATCATATATTGAGCGCTAGCTGTAGTAATAAACATCCTCGCTCGAATATCCTGAATTCCTACAAATGTTTGTTGTTCTAAGAAACGAGCCTAATACCCAACTACGCAAATATTCCTTGAAGACACGTTGCTGCATGCAACGCCACTAACAGGCGTTTTCGAAAACCAAAACTATCTGGGTTTAGTACATAGGAGTAGGGCGTGTATGGAGAAGTGGAGAGCAAAAGCGTACCAGCTTGCGATCATCCCACGTTCATGGCATTGTTGACGCGAGCTAGCTCGTAGTGACGATTTTCGAACTTGATCTATCGGCTTCTGAGGGCATTGAAGACTGTAAGCACGGAAAGACGGAATCCGTTCTCTTTCAGCCGTGACAGTTATCTGTACAAAAGTGCTCTTCGAATGTCAATCAACGGTCGTGACAATGCGCTGTAGGACATCGGTTTCTCTCCGTTATTTCCTGCACAGTTGCACCGAGTACCTTTCTAACGGTGTGCATGGATGACATTTCTTGCCATGCTCTATTTGACCTCAGCGAACGCAGCAACTTTATGAATAATTTTTCTGTTGACAAACAGGCTTGATAATGATCGCTCCCCACCTAAATGAGGTTCGCTTACATGATAAATGCCTCGGAGATGCGTCTTCTAGTCGTTTGCCACACATTTTGGAGATTCGTGTAACTATCCGTGGAGTCGGAACAGTATACACTGATCCAATAGTCGCTCAGCTGCGAAGGTTAAAGCAAACACATAATACACGAAGACCGAGAGGCATACAGGGAAAACCGGGTCAGCGAGTTTGATATAAGTAGGTGATGCTCGAGAGTAAGAGAAGGGCTTGCACTAGTTGTAAGTCGCCCCATAAGGTGTGACATCCCCTAAGTGAAATTTAAAAAAGCCGTTTACTTAAAACTGATTCAGCTAAATAAAAAATGATATGCAGCTTAGACCGACCAGTAGAGTTGCATACAGAGAGAATTATTCATCTAACATTTAAGGTTCGTCTCTGCGCCTAATCTCATCATTGCGCATCGATGCTCACAGCATGCAACAACAGTTGTTTTCTTCATACCAACTGTCCATACAATGCTCATCTTCGATGTACAATTGGCTAACAGCTATTCCAAGGTCAAACAGTTGACATCCCCGCTAGGTAGCTTCATAAACACTGCAAGCACAACCTACCAACGTAAAAGTACTGAAAACGGTTGGTTATACACCATACGACGTCCACAGGCGAAACTACATGAGAGCAGAAAGACAAAACCACTGGTTTACCGCTGAACCCAAGATGCGATGTGTAATGCATATGGGCACGTGCATCACAAAGTCGATATTTCTGTACTTCAAATGTCCGCGCCAAAATTACTGAATCGAGGACAAATAACCAAGAGACGTCGGAAATGATCGAAGTACCTCTATTATTCATTATCATCATCGGAGACACATAAATAATGGAACACACAGTACGAAACTACCGACCCAATCCCATGAATCAAACCATGACGGATGATCAGTGTGATTGGAGAACATGTTTCAAGATCGAGCCTCAACTGGGCGACGAAGAGACACATGCATTTGGCAGTCACCACCCATAAGTTAGGCTTTGTGAACATGATCATAATCGCACAGTCGATCTGTTAGAGTAATCGCACAAAAGTTACACATATATCAGTGTGCTGTCAAGGTTGGGTCCACGGTCCAGGTGAGTGGTAGCCAGCTTACAGATTCAGAAATGCGATAAAAATTCGAAACTCTTATTGCTTTAAACTGATCAGCGCAGATTTGAGCACAGAAAATCAGTATCTTCGTCGGTTTTCGATTCTGGAAAACCGCACAATGGTGAACATCATTACCGAATCGCACTGCAGAAGCCTGTAACGCGTCGAGTAGTAAAGAGGGAGACTGACGGCACAAAGAGGAATAATCCCCAATTAAGGAACGGAATACTTTGTCGGTATGCCTAGATATACAAGTGGACATTCCGTAACTATGATTCGACCAAAGTAAAGCAGTTATAACATGACGATGCATTAAACATCCCACTCACTCAAATGAACAGACTGTTCGTGCATTCGGAGAACGTTCATGAGGGGAAAGGATTTCTCACAGTATTGGCATTTGTGACGTTGCAAAACTGCAACTAAGAACAAGGACATCAGTCACACCAAACAATAAAGTAGGTAGCAACGTAATGCATCATTGCAAATACTACAGATGTACGTAACAAAACTCACTACATGGCAATGAATACGATGAAAGGATTATACCTTACTTGCACAACAAACGTTTTGTTTGAAATATTCAACCGGAAGATACAACACGAAACACGTGACATCCATCGCAACACGGGTATCCGTGCACTCAGGTGATTGTCCACTTAACGATTCGAACCGCCCAGTTAAGTGGATGAGTCCATCTTAGCACACCGAGTTCAAAAGTTTCCACGATGCAAAAGCTGAGCTACCCTTTATGATGGTAGAGCGCGTAGCGTGTGTAGAGAGTACATTAAAACCACGCTGAAAAGCAAAGATCGTTTCTTTCGATGTCAACTTGAACTGATGAACCAGGTTCGACAATGCAGATTAGAGACAAATCAGGTGAAACGCCAACACTAGCATAGCGATCAAAGATAGTGCGGCATATATTGTGTTGCGTAAGCCCCACTGCTCAGGTTCGCAATGTGATGAAATCAGTAGTGAGCAATGGGTGATAATTCATCGGCCATCGCTGTGCCCCGAAGATGAAGATTCGGCTTTCTGTTCGGGATGCTGTAGCTTTAGGGACAACACGCTGTGCAGCATCAGACCTAGTCACTGACCAGATCATGTGTTGGCTTCCGATAGGTCGGAAAGATCGGACAGACGAAACATAGGTGCGAAGTTAATCAACCCGCTGTCACCTATGTGTTGGTCAGTGATGAGACAAGTACTCGCGACCGCCTGGTACCGGACCGGTGGAAAGTAGAAACAACGGACCATTGCCCAAAAGGAGGGATTCCTAATCGTGCAAAGTGAGGGGAATTTACACTAAAGTTTGACAATAAATGTACAATCAAACACGTCAAAGTAAAGGTTGACTTGGACTCGCACATATGGAAAACATAAGCAAAATCGTCAATACAATGGGAGCCGTTCCTCCTCCTGAACCGGAAATGGGCTCGGATAAGGCGGTATCGATTATTGCCAATGGAATCGCATTGCAGAAGCTAATTCGCGAAACAACAGAGCTAACACTAATATGCTCGAAGATACAACCTGCTTTCCAAAACTCAAGCAGATGCCTATTTCTCGATCATTTCTCCAAGTGGTATAGTGTGGCAGCTGCAACTTGTAACGACTAGGGTAATTTCATCGAACCGTGCATAGCGCGTGTGTCAGCAATGTAGGAAAGGATAGCCTACTGGGCTTAACTGCTAGTCACAAAACACATTTATCGTAGCCAAGTAAATTAGCCAGGACTCATTCCAAGACAACATTGAGAGAACAGAGTTGTAAACTCGGTCCGATAACAAAGTGGAGATGTCCCAACCACACCACGAGTATCTCAGATTGACAAATGCGGAATGCACGTTAACGATGACTGAATAGTGTCAACAGCAGGAACATAGTCCCCAAGAAATTAACGACCTAAATGGAGGGTTTCGGCGTTGCTCTCTCCCATCCCTGCAGGGATGTGTGCCGATCCTCAAGTAGTACTACACTATTCTCGAAGGGAGAGAATTATACTCCACAAGCAGATGTCCCAATTGCTAAACATCTAAGAATAAGTCGCATGCTCTGCGGATCGTCACCAAGTAAGGCAAGAGTATCAACATGATCAAAGCCAGTTGCGTGTCCACTTTGTAAAAGGTGAAGCCCAAGTTTTGGTTGCTTTCCAGAGTATTCGACAGAAAGTCATCAACTTCGAGGCGAGGCCATAGGCAACCTCTGCTTCTGACAGCGAAAGATGAACAAAGTTTGCCGTAAATTATAAACCTAACAAACAAATGTAAGTGTTGCGCAGGGATGAGATCAGACAGACCAATAAAGGGGAATGCAATTCGCATATCTATGAACGTGACGACAATGAGTCCTTAGTAAAGGTGGCGGTGTTGGAGATTTAACCGACACAGTCTCGATCGGGAAGGAAACCAGTTTGTGCCGACTGCAGAGCGATACACAATTTGGAGATACTATGTGAAGTAGATTGGATGCCAACAGCTTGAAGGTAACAAAAATGTGAGACCGATCACTTGGTGATTAAGAGGTTCACGTGCTTCAAATAATGATGGCTGATTTGCCTGTGTGAACATACCGTAATTAAAAATATCTCTGGGTATTAAAAGCAACAAAACAATGGGCTGGTAGTGGGAACAGGGTTGATTTCACCGATGCCACCCGACATGATCAAAGACGGCATAACTCAAGCAGCGCAAATCAAGCTTTACTGGAACTATCAAGTACATACTTACTCAAATGAACGGTTCTGAGATGTCTTCTCTTGTTGCGATTACTAGTAAATGATTTGCCACAATGTTCGCATTTATGAGGTCGTTGCTCTGGAGAAGGAAATCGAAACATATTATTTAGATGAACCCTACAGGAAAGTGACAAAGAACCGAGCTACAATATAGACTTAACGACGGTTACCATGTAAAATAACCGTTTTCTGCGCATCAGGATCTCGAAACGTGTCATTGTCATCATTATTACACATCAGCTGAACGGAGGAAACACACTTCAGCTATTGCGCCGAAATACTAAAAAACATATATCGAAGAGCGAGATACTAGGGAACATAGAATACAATAAAATATAGGTAACACTCTACGTATTAACATATTATACTTCAAAGAAGAAATCATGGTTAGAGGGAGAAGAGGAGCAGGATTGGGAAAGACAAAGAAATCACAACAAAAACGGCATCGAAGTAGTCTCCTTGTCCTGTCACCAGGTGCACGCAAGCCGACGTGGTCATAGTCTTGGATCTCGTAACACCGAAGAGAAAATCGATTGTAGCTACTGCATACTGATAATATGTACCAGAGAAAGTATCCAACATTTCCGTTCGACCGTGCTATTCAAGCAGCCCAATGCAGAAAAAGATCCACAGGTAGATAGTTCCGTTTATTTTGGTAGTTGTTTCTGGTGACGGCGCTATTGGCAAAGCTAGATCCCGATCAGCATTTCTTAATTTAAGACACTTGCGGTGGCATCGAGACGTTTCCATCTCGATAAGGAGCAGCACTTACGGTACCTCTGTTCGCTCAGTGTCGTTGTATGGAAACGATTCGGGCTAAAGACATATGCCCTCTATCTGCGTTCGGCCACAGTTGTGTGAAGAGGATCGCTAGAGTGCGGTAGCAACACCGAGTTCCAAAAGATGACGTTAGACGTCGCGTCATGACGAATGTGAGTATTCCGTTCGACAAGCTGGTTTAGCCGTACCAATAGAGAAGGTACGGTCACGTCCTACGCATGGCGTCTGAGTGTTTGCTGAGCCGTTCTCTATTCGTGTGTGCAGGGTCGAGCTAGAACCGATCATGTGGTGGTTAGCCTTCTGATTAGCGACAGGATATGAAATCGCGGAAGTCAGGTTCGGGCCAAAAGTGAGGAGTGCAAAGGACGTGACACGCGCGCATCCATGGGGTCAACTGGAATCAGGGGAAGAATTGTGTGCATAAATGCATATATGCTTCGAAATGCAAACCGAAATATTGCCCTATCGAAACACACGGACCAGTCAGCTTTCTAGAATAGCAGGCTATCCTGCTATTGTTATAAATTACTGTATCAGAGGGACTACCAAACTCCCTTCTTGAACAGAGTCATTTTTCCAAACTGAGGCCTGAACAAACGAGTTCGCCCCAACAAACTACAAGAACACTTGCATACTACGTATTTGGGACTACCCCGATGATATTACGTAGGAATTTTGCACGTACCTGGAAGATGAACATTTGCCACATTCATTCCAAGGTGATCGATCTTCCAGTAGCGTGTTGATGAGACTCTATTGTCGATACTATCACGTACCATACCCGGAAAATTGTCAATACTATAATGGATGGAAACATTATTTTCTTTTGTGGGCTCAACACTTAGGATTGCACCAAAAACACTTTCACATACCATAACATTGGAGTTACTTCGGTGATAGTATGCAGGATCTTCAGCCTGCAACCGGAGGACCAAACTCGAGTTGGTACCTACAGTGAGAAATGAATATCGAACTACCCGCCCACATCTGGCAGGGATCGGAGTTGGACACGACTATCCCTAGAGTATTACTACTACAAATTGCGATGAACCAGCCGACTAATCGGATGACGAATCTGTTCCACCGCAAGTTTCACAGTAAGCGAGAGACCAATCTAGTAGATGAACTAGTTGCTACGAAGCCCAGTCACCATCATTATCATCATTATACACATTCTCTTTTGCCGAAATACATTAGAAAAGAAAAGAAAAAATGCAACAATGGCGCGCCGGCTGGGTCGTTCCGGAGAGCTAACAGTCGGCTATTGCGTCGCAAAAAGAAGTATCATATTACGCACATGAACTGAGATCATGGTTGGAGGAGGCGACACGGGACAGGGAGGGACAAAGAAAGTCGCAACACGAACGCCACTGAAGTCGGCTCCTAGTCATGTCAGCAAGTGTATCGTCTATCGGACCCCAACCAGGGAGCTGAGACGCTCCAAACGAGGCCAGCTTCGAAATGAGGGCCTTCATTCCTCTCGACCAAGTCATCGCTTGGCCACCTCCCTCTTCTTCCATCCACACCCCCGGCGCGCGAACAACACACGTCGCGGGAGTCGTTGGGCAGGCATGCGCAACACCTTACCAAGCAATCGGAGTCTTGTGCATGATATAACGGTATTGAGCAGTTCTCCACTTCCTTTCCGCTTTCTTGAAGCGTCGAAACACGCTCATTGTTCATGCAGTATCCCCACCAGATAGGCGCCAAACTGCGAAGTCGCTGGTGGTCGAATGTAACTAGTCTCTTCAAGCCTGCCGATTCAGTGAGCCAGGTTTCACAACCGTACAGCAGGGCCGAAAGCACGGCTGCCGTGCACGCTCTACATTTCAGGGACAGTGACGTTGCGCCGGCGCCACAAGTGGCCAAGATAAGCAAAAGCGCCGCGAAATTTCCTACACGGTTTGTGGTATCGTCCTCGAAACCAATGACGCTGATACGAATGCCGAGGTAGTGAAATTTTTGAACGACTTCCAGCTGATCCCTGCCTAGGGTCAGTGCAAGAGGCAATCAGTGCAAATCTTGTGGGAAAATTTTGCACTATGATGAAGCAAAGCATAGCCCGAAACGGCTGACAGCTAGTACTAATCAGCTTAGTGCTGTTTGGCACGTTTTTAAACCGCCACAGATAACAGCAATGTCGTCAGCATACTAAAAGTCAAGAAGTCGATTACCTGGGACTAGTTACACACCCTCTGAGTCGCGTTCTGTGAACGCAATCACCATGACTTCAGCAATAACCAAGTTGAAAAGGAAAGGTGATAGCGGACATCCTTGTCATATAACGCTGGAAATATTGAACGGGACGACAGCTTGCCGTAAGCCCTCACTCTGCCCGAGATACGCGCGTATAACGCTCGGATAAGATTCATGCATTCTCGGGTATACATTCCCTTAGCAGACAGTCCCAAAGGGCACATCGATCCACCGAATCGAAGGCAACTTTAATGTCGACGGACACGACAACACTGAGTCGTCGATATATGTGAAGGTGTTCCAACAACTGACGCAAGATGAATACGTGATCGATGCAGCCCCGACCCAGCTTGCTTCTCACGAATCTGGCCTTCACGAATGCTAGTCGATCTGTAAAGGATGACATAGGCAAATAATTTGGAGGCGATGGAGATCAATGTGATTCCCCTATGGCTGCTGTATTCCGAACGTGAGTCTTCCTTGAAGATCTGGACGATAACGGGGCGGCTCCAGTCGGATGGGACGGTTTCTTGATCCCACAGTATCGCGTAAACCGTCAACAAGGGCAGGGCCCGTAATTGATGGCGGGCATTAAAATTTTCCATTTTAAGAACATTTTGAGTACAGAATTCTGCTCCTTCAATCCTACTCAGATACCGTAAATTTTTTCCGACTATTATAAGCAAGCTTCACCGAACGTATTCACTATGGGCACGAACACACTACCACACCAAAGTATCTGGCCAGTTGATGAACACGCAAAAGTTTACGTTCATTGAAAACTGTTTCATTAGCCGATTATGCCTGTTTAGGCGCATCTCGTATATTTCGGGAATAAAATAACAATTTAATCGAACTCAAGTTAAAGAACTATATAAGCCAATGAGTACAGTGAAATCATTATGCGTTCATCATGGTATCTTTCCATGTACTCACGTTCTCAGTTGCAATGACAATGCGAAACAATCCCCACAAGCTCCATGTGAAGATCCATTCCCGGTTCTCACAAAACTTTCCATACATACTGATGTTCAGCTACACAATGGAACAGACCGGTCGCATTGCACGTTGGAAATATTGTTATACCGATTGTAGTTTGCCCTAGCGTTATGAGGTCGTACAACGTTGAGAATACGGAACCCACTTTCATCTTCCTCCAACAGATTATATACACCACTCATAATCACTTACCCGACGTGAGTTGGGTAGAGTCGTACTCATCCGGTGAGTCATATACAACTTCGTCTTCATTATTTTATCCAAGCATATGAATATGAACAGCCAACAATCTGCTGAAGTAAACACTGTATCTAGTTGTCTACCAGGAGCATTAGTACAATAACATCAGCTTTGAGGCATGCAAGCTGAATCACTCATTGAACGTAACCGCATGAATTAAGATAGGTAACTGGTTTATTACGTTATCTCCCGACCCCAACACGAGCTGCCAGTTACAACATCTTCAATACAAGTTAATCGAGGGTGAGGAACACACAGCTAACGTGCCGCAGTACAAAAAAGAAATACGGCATTTTGCAATGTAGACATGAAAGCCAAAAAAATTAACATAATGCTAAAATCACATTGTTGATGGTTGCTGGAAGGGGAAGCTAGAGGGAAGGGAAGGTACAAAGAGATCCACAACACTAAAGCCATTGAGGTCGACTCTACGCCATGTCAGCGAGCTGCCAGTATCAGCACAAGACCTTCTGAAGACAAGCATTACTTGCCAGCCGTTAAAGGAACTTGTTGGTACACTAGTTTAGCCGTAGCAAGCGTTTACTCAAAGAACATGTAGGCAACCGCACACCGACACCGACACATTAGTGATATAAAATGTAGCCTCTCCTAGTTTCAAATACTATGAACGTAGCGTCTAGTGTGAGGAAGCCATGACCTTCAGAGGCTAGCCACTGTCATCTGCTATGGTAGTAACCTGCGTAGCAGTGCAAGATAGGTCGCGCCATATCAAAGTTAGTTTGCAAATTGTGTAGCCCAGCTGACGTCCACATGGCTCAGGCTGCTGGCTAATTGCCATCTGCTTCTAGCAGTCATGGGTTCGATTCAAAGTAGGGAACCGAGGGAATGCGCACCACTGACAAG